AATATAATTGAGGTACTATTTTTTAAACCATTAAGAGTTTTTGATGATCTGTCCAAGTAACTTGCTTATGGAAACCGAAGCATAAGAATCTAGGCTTGAATGTCAGGATATTTAAGGGGACAACATATATTCGAAAGCTTTAATAATAATAATAATATAAATAATAATAATAATAAAAAAAAAATAAATAAATAATAAATAAATATATAAATAATAAAAAATAATTATATTTATTTATCAAATTTTTTTATAATATAAAAATAATATAGAACATACATAATATAATAATATAAAATATATAAACTAAAAATAGTTGTATAAAAAAAATATTAAATAAATATTAAAATATAAAAAAAAATAATATAAAAACCATATAAATTATAAAAATATTTAATAAAAATAAACTTGTAATAAATAATTTATATTATATACATATTATATATAAATTATAAAAAATAACTTAATAAAAATATAAATGAATAATTTAAAAAATGTTAAATTCGCTTCAAGTTTACGTAATATATCTAAAAAATTATTTAATGTTTAAATAATAATAATAATAATAAATTCAAAATCCAGTCTTGAACAGGAGTACAAAGGCTCTTAAATCCCTAATCAATTTATATCTTCTATCTATTCATAATAAATTGACCAATGATCAGAATTATTAGTCAAAATTAAATTTTACAGCACTTCAAGCTATAAAGTTCGGGCCACGCTTAAACTTTCCAACTGACGTCGACAATTTCGAATTCTTTTGCCCGTTTTTTTTTCGATTTTAATTAAATACTGACAATATTGCAACATGTGGCTGGCCACATTTCAATGCACGTTTACCCAACGACAATTGACAGACATTGAAATAAACGTAGTTAAAAAATTAAAAAAAAAGACGAAAGAAAATGGAATTAATATTTGGATTGTATGCTGTGGAGTTGATATTTGGCATTGCAACTGTGCCATGTGGAACGAAAGGCAAACAATTGGACGGAGATCTGCCACAAACAGAGCATAGCAAATGCCAAGCGAAAAACTGCAAACTGATGCCGAGTTGACATTTTCCTAAAGGGACAATTGCACATGGCATTGCAAAAAATGGGAAACAAAAAATCCAGTAGAAATGTCGAGGCGAGCCCATTGTCTCGCCTAGAGAAACAGCTGCTAGGCAAGTCCAACTGAATCCCTGGGCAGTCTTTGTGCTATAAACATTTTTGTGCTGTTTAAATTTAACTTCCTCTCTGGTAATATTTTCCTTCACTTGATTTTAGTGCTGATTTATATTGTATAGCTCGGCACGGCCTGCGGCCATATATTGAATATCAAATATGATTTTAAGACGCAACCAGCAACACACAGAAAAAAACAGAAGAAAAATTGCTTCGAATTGAATTTTATGTCGCAGCAGCAGCAGCAGCTCAGGCCCTGATTCTGATTCTGACTTTGACTCTTGGGCTTGACTTGCTGTCTCTCTCTCTGTCTCTCACTCTCTTTATATTTTTCACTTTTTTACTGCACTTTACTTGGCGTAACAATAAATTGCCTTTTATATATACATAGATTCTGCGGCTGCATTATGTATGACTACCATGAGATAAATGAGTGTATATATATATATATATTTTTTTTTTTTCTCTTTGTGGCTTTGCCATTTATGTTATTAATGCGGCGCATACCTTGCGGCTGCCTTTGTCTGGCCCAGGAACCTGTTTGCCCAGGAGGCTTTGCTGCCTATTCTGTTTTTTATATCTGATGCCCTTTCCGTGGATATTAGTATATACTCAACTGATACGTGACGAAAAGGCCAAATAGAGTATAGATATATATATTAGATATTTTTGCCTTAATGCAAGCTTAAACATCGTTAAGCTTCAAATCTTAATGAGGAAAGGCATATGCTGCATATAGTAGCTGCTACTAGGCAAACTAAGCCTATGTAAGTTTTTGCTAAGTAAATACATATACTAAATATTTAAAATTAAAAATATGGCGCTTATTTATTGTTGCTTTAAATGTTCTTAATCTAAAGGTATAAAGCTATTTCTTTAAAACCTAAAATTTTTGACAATAAATATAAAAAATTCTGTTTTACAAGGGTATCTAAGCTTCGTGACGACAACTCATTTATATATTAAATTTTTATACGTCTGCGAATCAAAGTTTATAGCTGAACATATATGTATATGTATTAGATACATATATATATATTACATATAGTTGATTGATATCGCTTGGGCATTTTTTTTTAAGCAAAACGCGTGCAGCGCAAAATTTCATTAATTTTTTAGCAGCTGCCCGCATGTTTAGCAGATGCTATAATTAATAGTCCAATGGAGGCTATAAAATTTAAGTCTTGGTCAGATAGTTACAAGACGTGTGGAGAGCACAATCAATGAAGTCTATCTGCTGCCTTTAAATAGGCTTTGTCTAGGGCCTGTAAAGCGGCTAGCGGCATTTAGCTTTTAATTGTTATTCTTTTGATGTGCCTTCTTAAGGTATTCTTTTGTTATTGATAAAAGTGGTTAGCTACAAAGCAGTCACTCCGTTCTGAGCTGCCAAAGGAATGTTAATTTTCAAAAGTTTGTCAAGCAAATATTATTGATTGTTTTAAACACAGTTCTACCTATTTTTGATTGAGCTGCACTCATATAACTGCATATATTGAAAGTCGCAAGGCAATTGCTGGCTATAAACTTATTAAAACAGTAGCCAATTGGCAAGACCGCTCTCTAACCACTTAAAGCCGTGAGAAATCTACTCCAATTTGCATTATTTTCGCTTGCATATCTGATTTTGTTTCGACTGTCCAATAAAGTGGAAAGTCTATGAGCGCATGTTCTACTTCACATTTTCAACATTTCAAAATGAAATTGAAAATTATAGTGTGCGATCGGCTAGTAACACAGCCAGACTGCTGTTGCTCATTATGTGCGAAGAGACAGAGCGTCGGACCGGGCTAGGTAGCTACACAGATACACAGACACGCAGATCCATAGGTGCCTTTAGCTTACAGCTGTAAACCGGTTCAGCGTTTGGCTGCGCATGCGCCGGAAAACCTGTCCGGCGATTCGCGCTGCCCGCAACACAACATAGTGGTAGAGCAGCGAGGCACAACAGCAGCCTCAATGGCGCATCAATTATGTTAATGAAGCTTTAAATGTGTCTTGATATTGAAAAACTTACTGCTACAGGTTTTTCACAAAAAAAAAAAAAGAAGTATATATATATATATATACATAATGAAGAAAAACGTTGACCGGCTGTGCAGCTCAGCCGGTTTTTCCAATCAAAAATGTCAAGCGCAACATTATAAATGAAAAAGAAAAACAGAATCTAAAGACCAATTTGCATTCGGCGACCTTTCACACACACCAAATGCCATTTGAATTGCGTCCACACCTTCGCGCTGTGTCACCTTTCGGTTTTTATTTTTCATTTTTTTTATCTTGGCTAACGAGCTTTTGTTTATATTTCAGCAACGGGAGCGAGTAGTGACTGCCTCTGACCCTGAGCTGATTCAGCCAATAGTTTATGGCCAACACGTAGCCGACTTACATGCACATGCATGTGCGCCGTAATTCTTCTGGTTGGCATTTTAAGTCGGCCTAAATGAGCGTATTTGTAAGGATTTATCCCTAATCATGCCTGCTGCACAGACCATTTACTTTTTTTTGCCAATGTCATGTTGAATGTCTGAGCTACATTTCATACAATTTTTAATGCATTCGGCATGGGATAAAACATTTCAAAAGGCATTTGCTTTATATAATACATGTGCCATCGTTTAGCTGGGCTGCCACTTTAGTGTGAATCATTTCAACAGAAGCGTCCAGGCTATATGATTATGGTTTAAAGGGCAGTAGTGTAATGGGCAGTAGATGGCTTAGAGGATGCCATAAGAATCAATAATCGTATTGCTCCAGCCCAAAAAGTTTGTCTATCTGTGCGTCCGGTTCTGTGTTAGAACTCGAAATGATCTTGTTGTCTTTTACATATGTCTTTCTGTAGCACACACATAGTAAATTTGTCTCAAATCAGCCAAAACTTTTGCTATTCCCTGAAATCATTTACCGACACAGACCACGAGCAAACTACTTTTTAGTTAACTACTTCTATTGTTCCTTCTTTTGTTCTATTGTTCAATCAGTTGCTTTGCGCGACGTGCGAGGTATCTTTTAGTCAAGCACTTCCTTCACTCATACACATATCATTCCCGACTATATCGATTTTCTTTTCACTTTAATCGTTGCAGAAAGCCTTACCAAACTTTCTTTAATAATTTCATACGCAAGTTTTTATATAATTAAGCAATAATAAATATATTCCAATTTTAATTTGATATTATAATAGGTTGAAATATCTATGACTTTATGAAAATTCATTTGGATTACCTTCATGCTCTGGTATTTCAACTATTAATTTTTCTATCACATAGTTCAGCATGCCTCGTTAACGCAAGCTGTTTTTGGGGGCACTTGCAACCGCGAGTTTGCCTTGGTTGCAACGAGGTTTATGTTTACGATTATGATTATTATAAACGTTTTTTATGCGTTGCATTTAATGCAACGTTGAGCTTTGGCAGCGCTTGCCGCTGCTGAGGTTGTGATGCAAATAGTTGGTAATATTAATAAGGGGTGGTGGAATGCGTGGGGGACTTAAAGTTGCAGATTGTTGAAGGGTGGCTTAAACTAAGGCAAGGGCAAAGTTGCGTGATATTTGGTATTATAAAGCCAGGCAAACAAAAATAAAACTATGATGCTAGAGAAAAACCATAAACCACAAGCCAAAATATAAAAGAAAACAATATTTTCAATATGAAATTGCAATAGAAATATTGAGAAATTCAAGGCAAATAGTTTTGACTACAAAACATAAATGAATACTTGATAAGAATAGTTCCCATAATAACCTTAAGGATAACCGAAACCAATATCTATCATATAGTATAGCCATAACCATGCCAAAGAAAACTATAGATCTTTCTGCATATGTATATAGCCTACCATATCGGGCCTGAAGTACACCTGTTGCGTATACATGGAGCTTTTCAATGAGGACGTCTTATCCGGGAATAATATGCATTTCCCTGGCATAGTTCCTCTGCTTGTGCCACCATTAATGGTTGTTGTTGCTGTTCCTATTTGTGTTGTTGCTGTTGTTGTTGTGTTTGTGTTTGTTGTAATGTTGTTTGCTGTCAGGTGATGATGGCCAACGCCCACGTCTGTTTTCTGTGCAGTCAAACTGCTCGTCGAGTTGACTTTGGAGGCGTGCGATAGGCGTTTCATATGCGTCCACATCTGATGCCAGGGCGCCGCGTCTTTCTATTTATTTTGTTTTTTTTTTTTTTGGTGTTTTCGTTGGGTATAGACCGCAAGATGCAGGACAGTGAGTGGTTATGGGTGTAATTTAGTGTAATGTAATTGAGTCGGTTGGTTGAGTGTACGAAAAAATAGAAATAAATATAATTTTATTTTAATTGAATGCGGCCAATTATTGAGTTTTCAAAACTATAATGATTTGAGGTAGATTTATATAAATTTCATTTTAAATTAAAATAAATTATTTTCAGATTTTGTAATAGTTTTCTGGGCAGACATCAAATGGGCGTTGGCATAATATATACTATAAATAATATTCGACTTTTATGGAATATGTAAATTTGTAAACTTTGTTAGTCAATTTGAAAATAAATATATTTTCTAGAGCTTAAATTTTTTAAAATATATAGCATTTATATATATATTTATTATATATTATATAATATACAACATAGTTGCTTCAGTTGTTGGGCGAATGAACCCCGAGCACTATACAGCTGCACGCACTTAACACCCTAACACATACAAGATTCAAACACACTCACACAAACAGGCACACATATATACACCCCCCATTTCTCAGATATCATGATGTCATGCACTCGGCCCTTAACAATTCACAATCCACCCGACCAAAGCCAAAAGCGTGAGCAATTTAAATTTCATTCGCGTACAGTAAAATGTTTATACTCATTTACGAAGTAAAAGAGCATATTGGATTCGTGCGATTCGACGGAATTCGAGTCATAGCTGAAAAACCAAACATATCGATATTTATCGATAGCAAACATATATTCAAATCAATGCGAAAGTAATGAATATTTTGTCAAGAACTAAACACCCTATTTTAATTCTTTTTTTAATGACTATAATCAATTATTTGATCATAAACAAATATAAAATAAATAGGCGTGGCCATTGAATATTGAATAGACATATTTCTATAAATTTTAACTTTCAGTTCAATAAAGAGCTTCGAACGAGATTGGCTACCAATTATTCGTCTTTGTGATTTGAAAATATTTTAAAATAATTTTAATTTTTATATCAAATTCAATTAAATTTTAGTAAAAAGTTTTCAATTTCCAAAGGTAAATGTAGGTTATCTTATATTTAGTGATTAAATTATAAATTAATTAATTATACGAAATTGTTAAAAGGATTTGGCTGATTTGTTTTTTTTTTTTTAAGATTCATTAATTATTTTTAAATTAACGTTTTGAAAAGATTTTTGCACTATCGGAAATTTTTCGACTTTTGGATTTATCAAAAATGTTATATAAATATATATAAATGCTTCTTAAGATCGTAGCAAATTGAAAATGAAATGCAAAATTTGGCATTGGCATTGGATCGTGAGTGAGTATTATGCAGTCGGTAGCGCCCGACTGTAACATTTTCACTTGTTTCATTTAGTAAGCATGCGTATGGGGACAGCGTGATGTCAACTTTATAAGCCGGCTATTAGAGTTTTGTTTTTAGTATCATTATTATTTTTTTGTTTTTGACTTGAGATAACGTAAATAGCGCGATCGACGCCGGCATTTTGATAAGGCAAATATTTTTGTGTAATTGCTGGAGCAATTCGCTTGACTAACTTGATTTACTGGAATATTTATGACTATTTGTTGAGGTAGTCATTCTATTTTTGTAATGTGCACGGAATTTCTACAAAACTAAGGTAAATGATGATGAATCATTGTGCTTTGAAGGCAAAGAGTTCAACTATGTTAACTTTTAAATAAGAAAGCGAAAGAAGTGATAATAATTTTATATACTTGATCAAATGAAATTGAAGAATATTTTTGTATGTTTAGCAGGGATGATGATGAAATAAAATTTTATTAAAAATTATTTTATTATTTTAAATAATTGAAGTAAATGTCGAAAGAAGAAATTGAAGTTCTTTATAAAATGCGATGAATTAATATAATATTTTTATATATATACATATTTTCATCATATTTTATAAATATATTTATATATTTAAATACATTTCTTTTAAATGTTTCTTTTTTCTTAGCTTCTAAGTATATTACGATAAAAAAATTTATTTATTTATTTGATTTTATAAAATTTTTCATGTTAATAATGAGAGTATTTTTTTGTTGAATTCAACGTTTCTAAATTTTAATTACATACATATATATTTCCCGAGTAAACAGAACAGCTAAGCTCAATTACCCTGGCATGCTAAGTATACAAGTGCAATGTCTGTTTACATATGCATATATTTATATATGTTATATGGCCAAGGCTAAGCGCCTAACTCATGCATCTGCTGTACACAATGGGGCCCCTCAAATCATAATATTCATAGCTCATATTCAGCTAGCCCCAAGCCCAATGCGGTCAGCAATGCATTTAAAAGTCATGCCCTTGTCGCTAAATGAGTCTATGGCATTTTGGGGGTCTCAGAGAGAGAGAGGACTAAGCCGAAAGGTGACAGAGTGAAAGAGTAGCATAACGCGAGGGTATGCCCCTCTCTACAACAACGCAACACGCTAAACAATTGAAAATGATTTCCGTTCGTCATGCAAACAGTTGTGCAGTACGCGCCCCCTGCCCACGCCCTTTAGCCAAAAAAAGAAAAAAGGCAACACGCTGCCGTTTGGCAAGTGCTGCAACAGCGACAAACGGAAGCAATGAAAATGGGCACAACAATTGCCCCAAGTGTGTGTGTGTGTGTGTTGCGGCTGCTGTTGCCATGACCCACGCCTCCCTCTGCTTCAACTGCATTTGTGTATGTGTTTTTTTCTTGATTCATAAACAATTCATTAAAACGGGAAATGGCAATTAATGCATGTATACGATATATCATAAAATTATATACGAAAGGTAACTGTTTGAAAGGGCCTGACTAGCAAATGCCCTGTAGATTATATTAATGCCTGATAAGATAAAAGTTGCGAAGGCTTTAAACAAAAGTGGAAATGTTTTTGAATGTGTTCTTTGGACACAAGTATAAATATACTCGATGAGTAAAAAAATGTCAATTAATATTTTATATATATATATATATTTGCTTACTCTTATCTTAACTTTATTTACTGAACAGAGCAACATAATCACATTAACATTCTCTCTACTATAAAGTCTTTAATTACATACCAAGCTTATCAGAACTATCACCCACTGCAGCTACCATATACCCTGGGCTAACACATTGTGCATAATGAGTATATGCATAACTACAGGCCATGCACAGCATGTGTAGAAGGAAGTTTGTCATGCGAGGCAGCTGAAGGAGGTCAGTTCCCAGTTCGCATATTAAAGATTTTAAATATTTATTAAAGGCGAGCGCCGAGTGCTGAGAGGCCCCCCACAAAGCAAGCAGGTTGCTGTTTAGCTATAATGCGATGTGAATCAAATGCTAACCGAGTTACTCACGCATCCACTCACATCCCCACACACACACAATAAATGCTGATTGCAATGCGAACGTCTCGACTCTTCGTCTCGCCTTGATTTTACTTCAGTCTCTCGTCTCGTCTTGTATTTTATTTTCCTCATGCCATGGCTCGTTTAACGCAACGTTAGGGGAAAGGAGGGAGGTTTGCATGCGCAAGTGCAGGGCGCTTAACTCAATTGCATGTATGCAACAATTCGTTGCAGCCTCTCGCAGTGCCAGCAACAAACTAGATACAAACAACAACAACAACTGCAGTTGGCATGCAACATGTTGATGTAATATGCAAATTTGATGCTGCGCTACCCATTGTTTCGAGTTTTTCCATAAAAATTTGCTAATGTCGAAGTCGAAGTTAACGCTGACTTGTTCAAGGAGACAGACGAAGCTGACAGTTTGAGCAGCACTTGAAAAACTTGAATAAATTTTGTTAAGACCAATAAAAATGCTGAAGAAACGGAGAGCAATAAGAGATGAGAGCAGATGACGTAAAAAAAAAAACTTTTTAATTTAGATTATATCTATGTACAAAGGTTATATATATTATAATTAAGTTGCTTCAGAACATTTCTCTACAAATTCTAAAGCTCCCATTTGAGATACTACTACTACTCATCATGCCTTCGCCCTCTCGTGCTTTGTTGACCTCATGGTTTTTACTACTTTTTCTCGTTCACATTTATTTTTGAGGTCAGCCCTTTCACACTTTAGTTAACACACAAGTGTGTTGCCGGCACTTGGTGGCCGCAGCCCACACTTTATCAATTTCACCCAATTTACATGTTGCCATATAAAAATTAACACACTGCTCTACTTAGGGCCTGCTGCCCACCAAATGCAATCTATCAAAGTGCATTAAAAATAAAAATTGGCCCCAGCTACAGCTGGATGCACGCTTCGCTTCGTTTCGTGTTTTTTTTCTTCTCTTTTTTAATGGGTCAAAGTCTGGCCAGACCGCTTAATTGTGATATATCACTCCACTCCGAGCAGCAGCATTAAGATATATTTAACATATATATACATATAGAAAAAAAGTACACGAGGAGCACCAAAAACTTCAAAAGTTTTGCCGTAGATCGTGCAAAGATATACAAAAGTTCAATTAATGTTTTCAAGCAAATATTTTGATGCACAAGCAAAATATTTTTACTAGAAAAAACTCATTTCTGACATATGCTATATATATCAAATGCAAACCGATACTTGGGTATTACGATCTAAGTGCATTTTTCACTTTGCATTCTTATATTTCTAGGAATGTTAAAATATTTATAAATATTTATTATTATTTATTTAGTAATCAGTTTAATATTGTACAGCAGATAGTATTTTGTTCAAAAGATAACAGATATGATTCCAAATACTTCTTAATTTTAATATAATAATTTAAACAACTCAATAACTAATTAAAATATTTTCAAAAAAAAAATTTAATTGTAGGTTAACCGTGAAATTGCTAGAACGCGCTTATTATATAAGGTAAGTCCAAAATAAATATATGCTAAAAATTTGCATAGATCATATTTAGTTTAGTGAATAATTTTTTATTATACGTATTTTTTAAAAATTATTTAATATAAAATTAATTAACTTT